AGGATTGCCTGAGCCCGTGGGTTCGAGACCCTCCTGGGCAACTTGGCGAGACCTCATCTCTACAATGAATCAAAAATTAGCCAGGTGTGGTAGCACGCACCTGTAGTTCCAGCTACTTGGATGGCTGAGGCGGAAGGATCTCCGGAGCCCAGCAGGTCGAGGCTGCGGTGACCAGGAGTGGCCACTGCACTCCAGTCTGGGCGACAGAGTGAGACTCCAACTCAAAAGAAAAAAAGAAAAAAAAATATTGCAGTCACTATGACTAATCTCCCTTATTGAGTCTTTTGATGCCCCCTTGAACTTGGCACCCTACTGGCCCCACTCCCCTTACCCTAGTCCTGGCCCAGGGTCTGGCTCCCTCTGGCTTTTCAGTGGGTGAAGATGTGACTAGTCTTGGAATAGCCCGTGCCATCTGTACTCAAGGACACAGTGGACGGGGCAGCCTCTGCACATGTCCTTAGCGGGCTGGGTGGCAGTGGCACAGGCCAACAGTTGGGGCTGGCCAGAACTGGATGGCCATGGGTCCAACTTCCGCTGTCTTAACTTCTCCCCCTGTGGGCAGTCAGCTTTTAGGTCAAGATTTATTCATCTCAGCCCGACCCCTTTCAGACTGTGGTCAGTTCCCTCTGCCTGGGATTCTCGGTTCCCACTGAGTTGTGCCAGGCCCAGCAGGTGAGGGCTAAGCCCCACAGGGCTCCAGGGTGCAGGTGCTGCAGCCCCAGCCTCTATTCCTCATCCTCTGTCAGCTCAGCTTGTCTCTAGCTAAGCTGACCTTGGGCAAAGGGCTGCCTCCCTGCCTCCCTGGGGACTACCAGAGACCAAGCTAGGGGAGAGGTGTGTCCCCACCAGTAGCACCTGCTCTGTGCTTTGGGAACCTGTAGAAGCCAAGACCTTGCATGTTAAGAAAAGCTGCCACCAAGTTGAGCACCATGTAAATAAAACATCCCCCCTCCGAGGGGCCCTGGAATAGTTGTCGCCCCACACTGGGGGTCTGAGAGGGGTACATCTCAGTGCTGTGATTCAGAACCCACAGGAGCTCAGGGCGAATCAGGTGGCGGGTCCTTCTGGGGGGAGGGGTGAGAAGGATGCACCCACTCGCTCCTGGTCTTCGCAGGGCACTGGCAGCATCCCTACCACAGGGCGCGTGGCAGCCAGGCCTCCGCTACTCCTAGGGCCCCTTAGAAGAGCCGGTGTTTTACCTCCAGGGCGCTCGACTTTGGTGGCAGTTTTTCTTCGAATGCAAGACCTCAGCATGAGGCTCAGGCCAAAGGGCCCCACCTCTGGGCAGAGGAGAACACGGAGACCTCAAATGCCACAGTGCTGGCAGGGCCAGGCCTGGGACTCGGCACCTGGGCTCTCAGCCAGTGGGTGTTCTAGGCCACTCTTTGGCCCATTAGTTCTTAAGGAAGCCAACTGGTTCTGAGGGGGTCAAGGCAGGGCAAGGCTGTGTCTGGAGCGGGGGTATTTGGTGCTTAACGGGGCCTCTGGCTGCAACCCCCGAGCCCCACAGTTCATTCTGGGTCAAAGACATTTCTTTCCCGAAGGCAGCATCCTAAGTGCCAAACGGACTGTGCTGACAAGCAGCAGACCCAGCCCTGCCCTGGGGGAGTCTGGGCTGGTTGGGGGGGGAGTCTCAGTGCTGTGATGAGGCAAGCTTTGGCGGGGTCAGGGGCCTTGGGAGCCCAGAGAAAGGGCCTTCCAGTCAGGGACACTGCCCGAGGTGGTATCCACCCATTGCTGCAAGGGATGGTCGCCAGCGCCCCCTCCCAGGTGTGGGGGGTGGTGTGGGGTGGGAATGTCGGGGAGGTGCAGGCTGGTGGGGCTCTCCGAGAGTCCAGAGAGGGAGCAGTCGTCTTCTGCATCATGGGTTCCTCCCTCCCGACCCCGCTGGGCCGGGACCATGGAAAATCCCAGCCCAGGGACGGCCAAGCCTTGTTCTTGAGCTCAGACCCCCAGGCCCGGTGTGGGCGCCCAAGGCGGATTCTCCAAGCCTGACCTCATTCCTGCTGGCCACACACCCAGGGGTCTGAGGCCGGGCGCTGGCAGCCTGTGCTCGTGTGTGGGCGTGGACATGTCCTCACAACACCAAACACATGTGCGTGCCGCCCACATCCCCCCCGGGTGGGCGCTTTCCAGGCGCCTGTGCCGAACCCAGCTGGTTCTCCGGGCACCTGCAACCTCTGCTTTCCCGCCCTGGTCACTGGGACCTCCTGAGATTTCCTGCAGTGCCATTGTCTCCACCTCAGAAACATGTAACTGGAAAGAAACCGGACCAAACAGAGGCCCAGAGAGGGGCACATACTTTGCCTGGGTCACAGCAAATCCTCAAAGAGCGTTCTGGAGGGTGGCAAGCTGTGTCCCCTTGCTCCCACGACGTGACCTCTCCCCCAGCTGCCACCGAGCCCTCCTCTCCTGGGTCGCTTGCCTCAGCTCCTGCCTCCTGGTGGCCTCAGCTTCTCTGTGCTGGGGGTCTTGGTGCCACCCAAAACGACCCCTACCCCAGAAGGACCAAAGCTCTCCTCCCAGGCTGCCCCCTGCCACCCACAGCCTGACTCACGGGAGCCAGCAACCCCGAGAAAGGAGCAGGGAGCAGGCTGCATTGGTCGTCCTCCCAGGGCACCTCGGATGGCTGTGCCAGCCTTGCCTGGCATGTGTCCTCCATCCCTGTCCACACATGGTCAATCGGAAGCCAGGAGGGAACGACAGCCTGGTCTCTGACCCCCTGGTCCCTGCTCCCAGTCTCCCCCTCTCCAGTCCATCTTACCTGTGGGGCAGACAGACCCTTGTAGTGCTGACCAGGTTACTCCCCTACTCAAGAAGATTCTGTGGCTGCCCAGGGCGTCAGGACAAAATGGAAACATCTCAGCCTAGCATTCCAAAACCAGAGGCGCCTCCCTCCTTTCTCTCCTCCTCCTCTCCTGGGCCTCACAGCTCCCTGGGGAGTTGTGCTGCACCAGGACCCAGATGCTCCTTCTCCCTACACACAACCAAGGGTGCTTCTAGGGCACCTTCCTCTCTGTCCCGCATCCTGCGCTCAAAAGGCCAGACTGGGACCCTCAGTCCCTGAGAACAGCCTCGGTTCCCTGCCCCTACCTCTACTGCCTGGGCCCCTGGCTCCCCTGAGCCTCTCCCTGCCCCCACAGGCCACCTGCCCCTCCAGGTCACCTACCCTCCTCCGCAGGGCCTGGCCTGGATGCAAGAAGAGCCGAAGCGGCCTCACTCCACCAGCTTCCAGGGTTAGGGCCCAGGCATGGACAGC